CTGTGGTCTCAGGTGGCGCCACGGAAAGATGGCGCTGTGGTCTCAGGTGGCGCCACGGGAAGATGGCGCTGTGGTCTCAGGTGGCGCCACGAAAAGGTGGCTCCACGGGAAGATGGCGCTGAGGTCTCTAGTGGCGCCACGGAAAGGTAGCACTGTGGTCTCTAGTGGCGCCACGGAAAGGTGGCGCTGTGGTCTCAAGTGGTGCCACGGAAAGGTGGCGCTGTGGTCTCAGGTAGTGCCACGGTAAGATGGCGCTGTGGTCTCAGGTGGCGCCACGAAAAGGTGGCGCTGAGGTCTCCAGTGGCGTCACGGGAAAATCGCGCTGAGGTCTCTAGTGGCGGCACTGACAGAAGCGTCTCTATTCATTATTTGTTATTATCAAGCTGTAACATTTAATTTCTTTACTTCTCAAAGCCAAATGCATTCGCTCAACCTCTTGAATTACCAAAGCTAAAAAGTTCCCTATTCATTGTTTTTAGCTAGTCTACAAACCTGCAGAGTATCGTTTATACCTGTTTCACACGGTTCCGTGACTGTTTCTCGTTGTCCAGCTAAAAGCTCGATTCATGGTGTCGCGAAATTGTTAAATTTCGATTCGCTCGTTCAGTTTTCGCCATCGGGCCAGACCGTTTTCCCGTTTGTGTGTCGAATTTTTATTTTCCGTGAATTTTATTGCGAACCGCTCGCGCAACCCGTGGGTCGTTCTTCAAAGTATTCAGAGCTCGTAGCGTGAAACGTCGATTACGCGAGGATTTCGAGGGGATTAAATGTTTGCGTGCGTATACGTACACGCTGACACACACAGAGACACAGAGACACGAAACAGACAAAGACACAAGAACGCACACCAAAGATATCACTCTGCGCGCGCGCGAGCGTCACGAGAGAATAAAGAACAAACACTATAGCAATATAATTTAATTGAAGCAAGCCGCTCGAGATACGGCGTGATGTAAATAGTGTATGATTGTGAATTAGATTTACGAACTATCGCGTGTAATTAAGGGGAAACGACAAACACGGTGAAAGTACAGAGGAATCGTTGGAACGAAGAAAATCACGAACATGACCGTTTGGTCCAAGTTTTGCGTGTACAATGGCGAGCTAAAGAGATTGCTCCTGGATGAAGTCAATGATTAAGTTTTTTGTAATGATTTTTTTTATCGTATCATAAACAACACTCGTTGCAGTAGCTGAGAAGGATCAGAGTTTGTTGAAAAGATTATTCCTTCACTTATGTAATAAGATTTTGTGTCACATAGGTTAATGACTTATTATCATAAAAGTATATTTTATTTTAATAACATCCAGGGACAATCTTTACAGTTCTGTGCAGTACACGTATTCACGTGAACGCGCCGAGTGAAGAGACCCGATTGAAACAAGAAACATAAATCTGAGTCAAAACAAAAAGTACTGGAACCATTGATTCACATTTATGGCGTTAAAATGATTGTATTTTTCTCTCGGCAATCTTTTTTGGTGGCGTATAAGAATTTATATATATATATATATATATACATACATATATATGTATACACGATAAATTGGTCGTATTTACGTTTTACTGTAATTTTACATGATCCATATCTGATCGTTACGATACGTTTCAAACAATAAAGAGGAATATGAGGCACACAGTGTTTCTGATGATTTTTTCATAGTTCCCCATAGATTACTCCTGGATTTTGCGACACAGGTAAGGTATTCTTTAACTTTCTCTAACACGGACTGGGACGATTTGAAAAGTTTAACACTCCAATGCTTTTACTGGAATTGAATTGCGTTGCAATTAATCTAGCTGCGATTAGAAAAGAGATAGAACTTGTTTTAGTTCCCTGGTACAGAGCAAAGATCGACGATATCGTATCAGATTCGACTGCACTATGGCTTACCCAACAAGCAAATCAGTTTTTTGACTACAGTGAAAGCTCTACTATAAAAGCGTTTTCATACAATTCAATAATTCGCGGTTTCCCCGATACTACCCCTATTGGTTTCGCGGTATATCGGGCTTTCGGAGCAGAGCTAGAAATAACTCGATATTTCAATAGAATTTAAATTGAATAAACGCAATGATCATAGCCGTCATCGCGTTAACAATGCATTCGTTGAACACTAATCCCGCAAATGCATTTCCGTTATAGGTTCAACATTTTTTGGTCAAAACTCTATAAATTCTCCCTATAGAGTTCCACCATGCATAGTGAATTATTTTTCCCATATCTCTTTTGAATAATACTTAGTCTCGCTAAACAATAAAAATTCACTTGTTATTCCAGAAATGGAGAAATGTAGTTTTGCGATACAGCGAAGACTGGATAAATGCAAGAATTTCCGAGCACAGTCGCTATCGTTGCGCCAAACCTCTTCTTTGACTACTTCTATTTCCAACAGGATCCATCCTAATTGCCCGAGCTCGCCCGTACACTGTGTACCAAAGAAACTCACGTAAGGTGAAACTCCCGGCTTCGAAGGCAGAGAGCGATTAGACACGGGCGAGACGAAAGCGATTCAGCGAGAGGTGAACAGTGAAACTGGGAGTCTAAACCCCGGCTGGGAGTATTTTCGAGGAAACGGAGGCTGGTATAAGCCGCCTCGAACCCCGTGAGCCATTCGATTCGACCTATCGGCGGAAACTCGGCTCTTCTTCCTTCCCGATTCGATTTCCAGATTAATTAAGGATCGCTGGTCTGAAAGGACGCCCTCGAGATCCTTTCAAATCGGGTCGAGTGTCCGTCCCGCGGTAGATGTAACGAGGCGCCGATTCGAATCCGTTTCACGAGACACCGACCTCGATAATGACATTTTTCGTCGATTTCGGGGGTGTCGATACCCGACCTCAAACCCTCCTCCGTTTCCCCAAGCCCGGGCCTCGTTGTACCATCAGAACCCTGTTAATGAGAAACGACCGTCGCGTCCTCGTGATATGAATTCGTGTCCCTGGCACTTAGCCCTTCAAGAGACGTTTATGCAGGTCGCTCCATCTAACTTGACCGACTTAATATATCTCGCTTGTTTTCGGCGATAGAAACAAATTTCAGAGCGACGATATTATAGCCAGGAACCAAAGAACAAAGTCCTACGATTTAATTAACAACGCGAGATAATGTACAGCGTGTCTCCGAAGTTAATAATTTCGAATGTCGCGCAGAACAGAGTCGCACATTGTAGACATCTGAAAGCTCGGCATTCTATAGTTTATCACGGTACAGTTTCTTGCTTCAATCCTCAATGCGACAGACGATTTTCTTCTTCAATGAAAGGATTCCACTGAGCGCTCGGCAATTTCTTCGATTGCTCTCCTCAGCCTGCCCTTAAGCAAATGCCTGTAGCATCGCGGTGCCACGATGAATAAAAAAAGATATCCAGAGCAAATCGAGCGGGGCACGCGGAAATACAAAAATTAACCGTGGCCTGGAGCAACCATCGCTACTTCGCAAGCCCCTCCTCGCCGACGTCAATCTCAAGATTAAAATTCTTGCAACACAGAAGAGGCTCGATTTCGTTTCTCCTCGAATCGTCGCGGTAGCCCTCGAATGTTTAGGAAGGGAGAAAAAGAAGAAAACGACGGTTGAATACCTTCCAGTAACAAGGTGCTGGAAATATAACACACACGGACGGCGAGCATGGCACCGTTCAAATGCGGTCCAGCAATCGGCTTTTCTGCAGCATTCAGACGTCGATGAGTTCAATGAATTTGCTCATTTCGCGTGGAATGACCCATATCCATTCTCCCCAGCGAACAGTGGCCATAGAAAAACGAGATGAACGCAGATTTAGAGACGGCGCTGGCTTTAAGACGCTCGGAGGCAGAGGTAAACCCTCCTATTATCTCGGCATTGTTTTATCGTCGTTACGCGCGTACAGAACGTGGCACAGGGATCCTACACAACCGTACGAGCTCGCGTGGATTGGTGCTCGTTTGTGACTGTCCTGGCGCTTCCGCGCCGATTGTGTGAGGGCTGTACAGGAGGATGTTTGCACTCGTTTTCTCGCGCATTCGCACGCGGTTTCAGGTCTGAGCTGAATGTATCGGCTGCTCAAGGCTACCCACTCTCCTCACTTCATGGACGGAGTCACGTCTGCGCCAAATATGTTGGCTGCTTAACATTTCTTCTGCTCATTTTGCGTATTTTGTTAATTTGCTGGAAATATATTTTAGAGAATTTAAATTTTTTATGAAATACATGCTTTCCGAGCATTAAATAAATATGTCTGTGGTCTGAAGGTCAAGTTTAACGTGTATCACAAATGTTTTGCATTGCATGAAGCGTGTTAATGATATCAACAATTTTTTGAAGTGCCCTTCGTTTGTAATTATCGAAAAAAAGCGTCGAAGGGCGCCAGGCGAACGTCGTGCCGGAAGTCTTCATTACCGTGTTATTTCTTCGAAAATCTTTCCTCCAGAGCCAAGTACTTGGTCATCATCAATTCTGAATCACACTTGGGGAAACTTCGGAGTCAGAAATATTAGAAAAACGAACTCCGTGTAATAAATTTCGTTCCAAGAAGAAGTTCGTCTCGAAACCGTTTTAGTTTTCCACTCTGGCGACCCGGCGCGTTATCTGTTCAAAAATCTCCGCGAAAAAACGGAATCGATGCACCAACTTCTTCACAATCATCACAATAAGGTCGAAGTTGTTAACGAATTCTGAATCGAATTAAAATTCATTTGGAAACGATTGAAAGCTCCAACAGAGTCCATACGACGAAGAACTTGATCGGGCTTTCGCGACGATAAAAAATTTCCATTCACATTCCTCCCTCGTAATTACACTAATTTCAGCCGGGGAATTATAATACCTCGCCACTCTTCAAACCCGGCGTTGCATTACCGCGTATGGACTACTCGAGTCGTGGCGTGTGGGTGAAAAGAAGCCGGGTGTACGTGACCTCTCGCCGACAAATTTATCGAAAAAAGAGAGAAAGGAAGAAAAAGAGGAGCCAGAGCGGTCGAATCAACGGTGATATTTGAAATGCAAATGAGTGTACTTAGTCGAAGACATATAGATCCTTTGAAAATAAATTCAGGTCAGGGAAGATTAGAAATGGGTCGGGCGAAAACGTACGTAGAGGCACAGAACGCAAAGGTTTACTTGTTTGAACAGAGGAAAAAGGAAATCTCCGCGTTCACACTTCCGGCATACTTTTTCCCTCGTCGATGCAAAGTGAAACCTTCGATGTGAATCAGTTACAAAGAGAACTATATATTTTTAATCTTTCGTTCCACGTTGAGGTGTGAAAAGCCTCGAAAAAGAAACGTAAGTAGCAATAGTAATCACTGTCCCACGTATAACCGGGGTGAAATTCTTTCAATTAACCGGGTATTGCCGTATCTGATAACTTTTGTATAACATTACAAAAAATAATATTTCTATTCGATCCTTTATCCTATTTTAAAGATTAATAACTCTACTTTGGTTTTTTCTTAATAACTCAAAAACGAAGCCTCAATCGAAATTTTTGCAAAGGAAATTGTTGTTCGGGATCGTATCAGCTACCCCTCATTTCCGGCTCTTACAGAAGTTCTGGGACACCCTGTACATCCGTCCAGTGACTGAGCTTATATCTCGCGCTTCCGGAAGTGGCGAACGAACGGACAATTACCTCGTGGAGCATTCATTTAACCTAGCGTGATTTCCCAGGTTTATCCCCGGGCAAGCGCTTCGGGAGTTTTTTTTTTTGTGTCGTGGGAGAAAAGAAAGAAGACTCGCACAGGGTCGAGCGAGCAGCCCGCTCGTGCATGATGCACACATAATACGCACTTACTTGAAAATCGAGCTAAACCAGATTTCCGTCGGTCATGAAACACAAGGCGCAATCGTTTGGAATTAACGCCGCCGCTTATATTTACCTTCCGCTCGTAATTTTCCGCGAACTCGACGTTCCCCGCAAAACGTACGCTCGCAGTTGACGCAACGGTCGTGTCTCTCGAGCGGAATGTGACGTGAATGTAAAATTTCCCCGGAAACTTTCGACATTAAACTCCTCGAACGAGAGAGAGCACTTTTTCAAGTTAAGAGCAGACTTGGAGGATTATTTCCAGCTAGTAGATCCTACACTTTATAGTAATGGGATATTTTAGGACTACTTTTCGAGGCAATCGTACGAGCTGGATTCGTGAATTGGACGTCATTCGTTTTAAATTTTAGTTGTCATTAAAGTTTGCGCTTCAAAGTTCACGCCAAATACGTTGGCTGCTCGAGGCCACGCCCATCCCCCATTTTTGAGCACCATTCAAGGACATCCCCTCTCCCTACGACTCCACCCAGCTTTAGCGTGACCCTGAGTGGGGGAAGTGACCTTGTACAATTTATTTCAGTTCCACCAAGGACCACGCACTCCACACTGACGTAAACTGTCTCTACACATCTCAACATCCAGCGTTCAATTATAATTTCCGCTCCTGTAGCTTCTCTCTCTAAAGTCTTTGCCCGGCAACGACGCAGACTACGCTCAAAAATGACTCAAAGACAGCGTCGCAGCCGTTCCTTACTCATAACCGAAGCCTTTCGCTAAGGAAAACGTCAGGTTGTGCGTGATGTTGATTTACAAAAGGCGCACGCGGCGCCGGGACGCCGTTTGAAACCGGTCCGCGAATATAATTACTCTTCGAGAACAATGCAATTTGTC